GTAAGACGAAAAGGGTTGCCAGAAATATCCAATATCAAATGTAGATAATGTATATTACATTATGCGAGTCCCTAATTTAAAAAATAGTGATTGCGTTCTCTTTATGTGTAATAAAGTCAATTTGTAATAGAAAATCTAATGACTTAGCAGGGCCTGGGATCACTAATGTTAAAGTCTCCTTATTTTCTAACATTTTTTCAGCTATTTGATTCAGACATTAGTTTATCTGTAGCTCTAGGAGTGGTCTTTATTGAGAAATTGAGCAGTTGTGCATTATATGCTATTTGAATTTCTTGGCCTACACTATTTACCTTTGCCACAGAGGGTTGTGTTTGAAGATAAAATCTTACCATCAACGTCCTTGGTAACCTTAGTTATTAAAGAATTATAGATAGATGAATGAGTGAATAATACAAAAGTAAATGTCGATCACAAAAAATACGAATTAATTAACTACATTTTAAAAATTAATCCTTACAGTAAATTAACTGTTCGAGTTTACCACCCATTTTCGCCATATAGCAATATCCTTTGCAGGTTCTCTATATTGCTTTAATTGATTACATTGCAAAGGGGAAGTGAGGTTCCACTTCTTCCACGACCTAATGATTTTCGACTTCGTATGTGGCAAAGGCACTTGCAATATTGTCATCTTTGTTTGACAAGATTCCATATTTAAAAACAATTGTTAGCAAGGTACTCGTTGGTCGCGATCTCGGGATCTCTCTATTAAGGCTGAACATGCATAAAACCAATAAGGTATTCGAACTAGATAAAATTCAAGGCAACGGTTCGAATCCCAGTGGTATTATAGTTAACATTTATACTACTTATGATTATTTCTATAGATCATTTACTTGTATTCTAATTCAACTTGTGCATTCGCGTTCGCTTTATTCCTTACTAATAAGTTGACCGGTAATGAAATGAGGTGATCGAATTTGGGTAGATGTAAGGCCACTTTTAACCTGACTGATACAAGATAAAATGTGTTTTACTTTCATCTTAAAATGTGCGAAGAGCCAAATACTAAGTTAGAAAATCTCTGACTGATAGATTATTTTAAATTATCTGAGACCTTATCGTTAATAATAATGATTGTGTTCTCTCAACGTGATAAAATGATTTTGTAATGATTTTGTAATCTTTTCTGTATTCGTGGGAACGGTCTTTATTAAGAATATTTGGCGGTTATGCATCATATATTCTTTGAATTTAATTCACTTTTGCCACAGAATTAGCGTTTGAAGATGCAGCCGTAGCGTTAACGCCCTTATTAACCTGATTTATCTTGTGAAAAATGTTTACAGTGTAACAGAAAATAAATTTTGGTGAGAGTTGCAAATGAAACCGACTTCGTCCTTTATTGATATGTATTTTCTTTGGCTAATTTTAATTTCAAGGCAATTAACGGAAATTATATAAAAGGATATTTAACCCATACCCAAAGTACTCTATTTTTACATACAGTTTAGTAACCAATTTATTAACTGTAAAAGAAAGCTCGTCAAGGAAAAGTTCATGTGCTCTTCCTACGGTTGCAGTTAAGAGTGAATTCAGACTTCATATGAAAGCGGTTTTGGTCTAAATTAATTATATAAGTTTTCATTTAGTATTAAGATTGTTCAGCTATTCTGCAGTCAGGTTCTGAAAACGATACTAATAGATCTCTAGAGCAAATTATAAATTATGAGTAAATGAATGAAAAAT